GAAATATTTTATCCAATACTGTTGTGAATGGCAGCTGGGAGGTGGGGAGGGAGTGGTATATGCTGAAATTGCCTTGTAACTGCCATCTCGAGTCCTGATGAGAAAGCAGAGGAGGGTGCCCAATACATAAGGCAGGCTTCTAGCCAAAACAAACTTTGAGGATAACTTAGGCTTATTCATTTCACTGAACTGACTGTAACAAACCTGTGGCCAAGAGTAAGAAGTGGCTTTGATTCCAAATGTGTACTTTTTTTTCTTCAAACTGAAAAACAAACAAAAAAACCCCCCAATTCTGTTGGTGGCATAAAGCAGTTTTCCTCAGTGCGTGTAAGACACAAAAGACTGAGCTTGTTCTGGAAGAATTATCCTTTGACCAGTAAACCAATACCATCCCTCCTTTTATATACTAATGAAAAGGACTTGCTCTCCACACATGGATTCAATGGGGTAGAAGCTGTCAGGAAAATCCAATGAAAGGATTAGCTAAACTTGAATAGATTAATTAGAGTCCTTGATTGTGTCTGGCTATGCAAATGTACAGCAATGGCAATGATAGCAAGTTCATCTTTACAGGTACATGGTGGGAGTGGGGGAGGCAACAGGATGACGGTAAGTAAGAAGCAAACCTGGGCAGTTTGTCTTATTCTTAAGCTGCCTTGATCCCTTATCCATCTTTGTGTAGTTGAAAACAGAAAGATTTTAATAGGCATGGAGATTGTGACCAGCTCCTTCTCAAAGCACAACTCACTATTACATCCAATATTTTTTTTATCATCACCCCTGTTACATAAGACAATGTGTCCTACTGGCCAGAGCTATTGAACTACTACTAAAGGCTTCTGGCTGCCTAATACAAGGCAGGTGATGTGTTCCGTTCCCCAACCTGCAATAAATGTACCAAGTTCAACTTGGAGTCCCACTGAGGTTTGGAGTCACTTAATTTTTCCATATCTGAAAACCCAGTAAGTCACTAGTGATTGTTAAGCTGTTATGAAGGGCAAACTACTGATGCTAGCCATCTAAATCTTGCTCTTAACGTACATTTTCCTATGTTTGAAGTGTTTTAGTCATTGTATCTGTTTTTTGTTTGATTGAGGTGTAGATAACTTACTGCTCCTGTACAGGAGAAATTCAGAGCATTGCTATGCATAATACAGAGCCTGGATTTTATTTGCATTAATATGAGATATAGAATTAAATCTGTGACATCAGAAATCTCTAGCCTGTGGCTACTGAGTGGCTTTCAAACATGTACTAGCTTGTTATGCAGTATGTGTTTTCCTGTAGCACAATTCTTGTGCCTGCTTTCCCAAGTAAAAAAGGCCTTGAGATTATTGAAAAGTCTAAACAAGAAAAAGTTTTCACTTCGAATAGGTCATTAAGCTTTTTCTTTTTGCTGTGCCAACATGTTTTACTTTATTTTTTTTATTCTATACTGCAATATGACCTGTAAGTGGCATGAATTGATCTTGATATAGTATGAATTCTTAGGGCCTTTTCTCTTTTAACCAAAGAGTTTGAAGAAAAAAGAAAAAAAAACCACACACAACTTAATTTGGTGGGGATACAAGTTGATGCAAATAAGAAACACGATCTGCCAAATACAGCTTTTGTACAGGATGATAAGTGACTCTGCTGAGGGAATACTTCTTGATAAGCTTGTGGGTGAATAGATCTTCCCAGGATTTAAGCCAAAAATTACTACCATTTGATTACAGTGGGTATTTGAAGAGTTTTCTGATTACAGACTTCTTTTAGCTTCCTTTCACTGCTGTCTGGGAAAGACCATGTTCTCTTCCTGCGAGTAATGCATCTGAACTGGATATCCAAACCTATCTGTCATTCAGTGAGTACGCCTGACTCTTCAAGACAGGCTAATTGTATATGTTAAGAGGCTGCTCAAAATGTAAGGAACCCAGTCGGAATATATAAATGACTTTGGAAGGCAGTCATGGGTTTAGAAAACAAAACAATACTATATTGATTAAACCAAAGCACTTTTTTCCTTTAAACTACAAATAGAATAAGGGACAGAAACACTTTCTTCAAAAACTTCATACAGGAAGACTTAAACTCACCTTTAAAAGCTATCTTTTTTTAATGCCTCAGTGTTGGGAAGGACACACTTTCTTTTGGCATCATATCCACCATTATTTGTTGCCAGCATAAGCAAGGAAGGTGCTTCCTCTGTCAGCTCTTTCAAAATCAGCAAAAGTAGGTCCCAGATTCTAAATAAGTTGACTTAAAGATCAATTCTCTCTGCTTTATTTTGTGACACCCAGAGGTGAGAGGCAGGGTGTATGGGAAGTGTTGCGACTTGAGAGAAAAAGGCATCAGGGGAAGGGCTGAATCTCAACGGCCATCGTCTTTGTGCTTAGGAGGGCATAGCAAAGATGGAGCCAGGCTTCCCTCATCCTGTGTAGGGCTAGAGGCAATGCATACAAGTTGCAACATAGCAAATTCTGGTGAGACTTTTTTTTTGGGGGGGGGGGAGTTTCACCATGAAGACAGTCAGACACCAGACCAAGGGCCTAGAGAGGCTGTGGGATCTCCACCACTGTAGTTAGTCAACATGCAACTGGACCAAGGGCCTGTGCAACCTGCCCTAAGTTGCCCTGCTTTGAGTGATCCCTTCCATACCACATTATTCCAGGATTCCATTTTCTTTATTAATTTGATCTATTTTGTGTAGTCTTCATGCTGACAGGATCACAGCTGAAGGTGTGTTGGTACTAACAATGTAGTTTTCTGCAGTTTTACTGTACAGTAGCAAAGGGTAGAGTCTGAGTGTCATTGTCTATGAACTTGCCTTCACAAAATTGTGTATATCTAACTCATTTTGTGAAGGGGCAGTGCAATCTCAAACTATTTCCTCTGCAGTTTCCTTTTCCTGTTCACCCCAACAGTTATCTTCTACTTGAAAATTCGGGAAATTTCTATTAGAAACATTCGCTGGAAGCTCTGAGGAAGACTAAATGAGTCTCTTCTGTTTCCTAACCTAAAAAAAATTCTCCTTATGCTGTGTAGGATCTTGATCATGCTTTGCATGTGTGTTATTTTAGCCTATGTGTGTTTTACCACTGCACAGCTTTTCGTAATTTTTAAGGAGTACTGATTTACTTTGGTTTTCCTCCCCCTGCCTCCTGGAGGCAGCAAAGACTTTCATGTATCTGTCACTACGCTATCCTTGTAGTAAGAAACCCGCGCTGCTGTATAGCAGGCTAGGTGACTGGCTATTTCTTTGGGTTAGGCTTGTACTGTGAGGCAAGGGAATACTGCATGTAACTAAGGTTAATCCCTTTTAAATGAAGCTTTGTTAACGAAATTAATCCTAAAACTGGTTCACAAGGAACTTGCTTTTTTAAAATCCACTTTTAAAAGTGAAAAGGATCTGATAACAAATTCACAGGATAACATGGTTTGAAAGGCAACATCAGAAGGGCATCTAGCCAAACACCTGGCTCCAAACAAGGTCAGCCATGAGGTCAGGCCAGGTTACTCGGGGCTTTGTCCAGTCTGATCTTTGAAAACCTAAACTGGCTAGTGAGGTTTACTTTCACTTTAGGAAATAGCTCAATAAACCCCTGTTGACTAAGTATTTTGAATTGTCATATACATCAAATCAGGAAACTGATTACAAAAGCCAAATGGAAGATTTGAAGAGATGTCCTAGTTGTGTTCTGTAGCACTACTGCTGTACTTAGAAAGCTCTGCCTCTTGCTACAAGATGCTTTAGTTGATCCTGGGTTTGTGTAGCTCCAGGTGAACTAAGCTACTTCTGTGTTTTCAGTCTGATGCTTGGTAGTGTGTTTAGGCTAAGAGCCAGGGCATTCCTAATGCCAGGTAGGTGATGGGTCAAGTCTCTAAATGCTTCTGTGATAATGAAGACTAGAATTCAAGTGTGGGTATACTTTAGATCTGACACACCAACTGGTCTCCTGCTTCACTGAAACTTTGTCCGTAATGTTCTCTGTAGATTATTGGGTGGGGGCAGGACCCCAAATGCTCAGCTTTTCAAACTTTTAAAGTATGTGCTGTATTTTTTTTTAATACAGTGCCACACCTGTTCTCAGAACAAGTTAAACCCTAAAGTATTTCAGGTAGTGAACTTCTAATGTGGGTCATGTTTTTTAACTGTAAAGAGTTTTGAAAATTGATGACCACATGTATTATGTAGAGACATTCTACAAAAAAAAAAAATCACTTACTGTAGAAATCTTGCTTCTGTAAACGCATCTGCTTATCTTTGAAATCAACACAGAGCTCTAATGAGTATCCCATCATGTTTGTGGGGAGGGGGGGGAAGAGTATAAACAAAGTAAATGTGGTATGGAAAGGTGACCTAACTTGGATCTTCTTTCTGAATCAAGCTTCTGTATCTCCCTCCTCTGACCCCTTAATGTCTGGTTGTCGCTCCCCTTATGCTGGGGGCTGTTGTAGCTGACTTGTCATGCTTTGTAATGAAGTATGAATGCAGCTAGATGAAATCTAGTGTTTGGTTGGTTTTATTTTTTTAAACCTTTTCTTAATAACTGAGCTGTGGAGGGAAGAATTAATAGTGTAGTAAGTATCGTTCCAATAACTATCACAAATATGCTTATAAGCTTCAGGCTTGCTTAAACTCTTGTGCAAAAACTGACATCTACTGGTAGGAACCATAACTGGACTCTTCTCGGTGTGGAGGCATGTGCCAAAGAGCCTGTTTTATTGGAGTGCTGGCCCCTTTGACTATAGGTGTTGGATTGTACCTTGCCCTAGAGTAAATGGTATTTAAGCACAAACTATAAGCTAAAAATCTCCAAGGAAACTGTAATATACTTAAATACAATCATAGGTATTAATAAAGCTGATTGAACTTTCAGTTAACTGTATCTGCTTTGAACATGTGTAATAGCTAGATGACAAATTTTGTATGCTTACATTGTAGACTAACTTTTGTAATAGTATTGAAACCTTCATATAGTCTTATGCTGATTAAAAACATCTTTTTTTTTTTTCTTATGTCTTTAAAGGCTTGCCATGGGTGTACATCTTTATCCAAATGTGATTGCAGTGGAGTAAAAGGTGAAAAGGTAAATATCTCCTTTTTCTCATTTTACTGGCAGAACAATACACAAACCACTGAGCCATATGCCAACTTCAGTTAACTGAAACTTATGGATGATAGCTTTTACTTCTTGCTCATGTCTCTTTTTTTTTTTTTTGACCATAATGTGGGCATGCACCAAAGATCATAGCTGTTATAATGACTTCAGGTATTGAGTCAGACCAACTGGTCCACCTCGTGTACAGAATTTCGTATAATTTTCTCAAGCATGGGGTGGGGTGGCACAAATTTCTCTAGCTATGCGAGAGTAAAAAACAGAAAAGATACAAATTCTAGTAAAATGGAAAGAATTCCTATTTACTGCCAAGGCCTACCTGCTCTAACTAGTTAGTGTGGATAAGCTAAGGTGTAGATTGTACAATAATGGCTATGCTAGTAATACTTTAGTGGGAATTTAAAATTGGAATGACTGTAGGTTGCTTTCTCACTTTGGTTGCATTGCCTGCTCATAAGTAGTTGACGCTCACTAATGTGCTCTGAACTTGCACTATTTTTTACCTCATAACTTGTATAGCTGTATATTCAGATGATTGCTGTTGCTATCTACGTGCTCAGCTGGACTGTAGAAGTGTCACAATTCGCATACAGCTTTCCCAACATACATAGCTGCCACCCAAGTAAGCACCTGGTTAATGGCCAAACATGTGTTCTCGGATCAAGTAGAATAAAAACCATCCCCGACCCACAAAACAACCCTGTGTGGTTCATTCAGTGCAACAGGCTGTTTTGGGCTGCCTCGCCAGCGTCCTAAGGCCAAGAGATGCATGTTGACATCTCGGAGCTTTCCTGTTCCCATGCAGCTTTGACTTTCGGTCTCACTGCCTGAGCTCAATATGTCTGTGCAGTACTTCATATTTGTGTCATCATTATTTCCTATTGTTTTACAGTTTTTTCCCTTTGAGGAAATGGCAGGTACTGAGCATTTCTCTTAGTTACAATGTAGTGTAGATGCATAGCTCACTACTTGCCTGAACTGAGCCTTTCCTCAAGTGTGGGAGCCTAGTTGTAAGTAAATGGTGGTTAAATAATTTCCATGTAACTGCTGTTGTCACAGGGCATGAATGTGCTGTCATCACTGCAAGGGGGAGAGACCGCCTGAAATGCTTCCACTCTTAGTCTTGTAAACAGTTTGCTTGACATACCATGAAGTCATCTTAAAGATGTGAACTGATAACAAAGAGTTCGATAAGCCTGTCTTATCGAACCACTTACCCTATCTTAGCAAGGTTCTAGAAGGGCTTCAGTGCTCTAACTTCTGACACGTTTCAAAGGTAATTTTTGACACTGCATAAACAAATGTAACCTCAAATGAATGAAAGTAATGCAAAATAATCAGTCACTGCATTGGCCCTATAATGTGCTGATGCAGAATTTTACTATTGGCTGAGGTTAAACAAGGCAGATGTTCAAAATTCAGAGTAATTCTCGGTGCCACACCTGCCATCCAGATAGATGAGGTCATTCTTTGGCATTTACTTGCTTTTAGTTTATCAAATATATTCCCAATTTACCTACCTAGTGAAGAACAGTATCCCCTTGATACCAAGCTTTCTCAGTTAGATTTGGTTAGCCAAAACATGAACCTGATTGATGCTTTCCTACAGGATCTTCAAATGCAGGTGGCCAAACCAGGTGTGTCCTAATGCTAGTCACAGGACTATTTCAGGTTTAGTCTGAAGGCACTTAAGCATTAGGCTTATGTTCCCAATACAATTGTAGCAGGTACAACTTTGGAGAACCCTTTTGTAATTCTCAGTTGGTCTCTTTCTGGACTAGGCACAGCTATTCTGTGAATTCAGTGAGCAAATGGGTATTGTCTGGCTAGTGTGGAAAACCTAGAAGTAAATTTTCTTGCCTCCTAAGTAAAATCAAATAATTATTTTCTCCCACTGATTCAGCTTTCTCTTTATACAACTGTTACACGTGCAGGGACCATGACCCACTCAATACATTCAAGTTCTTCAGTATCACTTAATGAAACTAACATATTCTTTACCAGAGAAAGGTGACTATCTCGGGACTGTTTGTTTGGAGTCAGAGGGTGCTTTTTGTCCAAATACAGTCAAACAACTGGAGCATATGAACCTTGATCAAGCTCTCAAGTGTTGTTATGTATGGTGGGTTTGGTTTCTGTGCCTCCAGACTGCCCTAGCCAATTGTCAAGGAGGACTGCACAGGAGAAACTCTTCCACATTTTGTTTCCAACCTCTGGCCTCTTCTGGAGTGAATTATAGCAAATCCTGAGCAGAAGAGAGAAGCTTGATAACCTTTTGTGAAAAGGAAGCGGGGATGGGAAAAAAGCCTCCAGTAAAACAAGCATAATGTCAGACCAAATATTTATATAATGGTTCTGCATTTTCCTGGAAAATTCTTAGAGGGCTGCAAATTAATCAAAGTGTAATCTTTTAATAAATAACCCACACTTTTTTGTATGTCTGAGTCGTCTTAGGGAAGTTGAAGGGATGTCTGAGACTCCCACTTAGTAAACTGATAGATATAAGGCAAGCTTCCACCCTTAGAATGGAAGGTTCACTTTGAAATCTGGGAACTGTGATTCATTTTCCACCTTAATCAAGATCAACAGAGTGTAATCCTGAGCCATTCCAGAGGGGTTTTTTGTGGTTGGTTTTGTGTTTTGTTTTTTTTAAACAGCCCTTCAGAAGCTTGCAGACCATCATGTACATTTTATGTAAAGGAACAACGAAAAGCAAAGCCCATATTTAAGTATGATGTGTTGCTAGTGTAACTGGTTTGATCATATGTGCACACACCCCATTATGTTGCCCTATAATTACAAACCCTCGGTATTTGATGCATTGATGGATTCAGCAGTTCAGCTCTGGGGAACCACAAGAGTTCTCTGTCACTGACATCCATAATGCTTTCTCTTTATGAATTCTTTGGTTTCTTTTTTTACAGCCTTGAACTTTTTTCTAGGGTCTTATACTACTACAAGACATCAAGGGCTATCTTAAGATGATTAGGAGGTTGATTCTGTCGCAGTTTACCACTCTACCCTTTTGATATAAGCTTTGAAACCTGATACTGTCTTCAACCTAGCTTTCTTGCAAATATTATCTTTATTCCAGTTGAGTATAAACTGCTGCTACAACAAATTTTTGCTTTTTCTTTGTATTTGGCACTTGACATTTGGTTTTTCTGCTTCCTTCTCCAGTAACCTCTGAACCAGGAGTCAAACTCTATAGCTCCTTGCCTAATTGGTGTATGAAGAGCATTAGGCAAGGAGCTGTTTAAATAATCTCCCCTCTTTGATTCTCCCATTGAGAGTGTGACAATGTACTTGTAGAACTACTGGAAGTCAGGCGTATGGAACCTGGTCCTGTACTGGGAAGACAGGAAAAGCTTTGTCAAATATGCTCAGCTGAGCCCTGAGCTTCTGCTCCACTGTTTCACTTCTGGCCCACAACCAGCTTCCACATCCAAATTGCTGTCCGCTTGCATTAAGTCAACTAAGAAGTGCTGCTTTGTTCAGCTTAGCAGAGCCTAATGCATTCCTTTTGAGACTCAACAGCAGCCTTTTTCCTCGGCATCCTAGCATTCCCTTTGGGATATCCAAATTTTAACAGTTCAGATAAAGTAATACAAATTGAACTGTAACAAATAGAACTATTTTTGTGTCTTGCCTTGGGGAGCCACAGCTCTTACTTAACTGCTTATGTGCTGCCAGTGATTCTTATTTAACTCTGCCTCTGCCATGAGCCCTTATAGCATCAGTATCATGTTATCTGTTGGAGAATCAAAGTGCAGTAAGCTTTTCTTTTTTGGAAACCTATTGTAAATAGCACAAATCAGGGCACTAAAGTTCTCTTCCTCTGATCAGGCCCACCTTACTAAACTTAAATATAAAATGGATAGTGTAAAATTCAAACATACCTAAAATGGTATAATGAAGAAATAAGAGGAATTTACTGGAGAAGTCAGTAAAAATTGATTGCAGCTGGGAGCCAGTGGGCTGTTACTCACAGTAAGCTGCTCAGTAGTGAACTGGATCTGGTTAGAGTATTAAAACTGAAGTAAATGATTAAGCTGCTACACACAGGTGCTTACAGGAATTGCTCTCACTTTTCAACTGGAAGAGAAGTGTATAATTGCTTTTCACTGAAGGAACTGGATGATGGTTGGGTTTTAAATAAATATTGCTTGTGCTTTTGAGATTAACCTGCTTTAATGCTAGTTCATGAGTAAAAGATAGCTAAAGAAATAAACACAATAAACACTGCACATGTAACAATTTCTAAGACAAACCAGTAGGACTTGTAGATTATTGAGCTGGTTTTACCTCAGCTGAAAGCAAGATCCAAAGATGCTGATAAGATCAGCTGCACAGAGACTGGGGAGGAGGAGGAGGGTGGTACTGAATCTCAGCTGCTCCAGCTGATGAAGACTGAGAGCCAAGGGCTACAGCAAGCAAGCGGCATGCATCTTAGTCACTAAGAGGGCATGTACCCCAAGACTACTGTGGTTTTGCTTTAAAAGGGTAGTATGTGCTGCTGAAATAAGCTTTCATACCTTCCCTTAGCTGAGTATTCCTGTTTCTCCTCTGGGGCTTGTGTGGCCATGTTCAGAGCTGTCAGTGAACTGATCTCACTGAAAACAAGTTTCTCTGTAAACTAGGTTAGTTTTCAGCCTGATCAGTTCCTTCATGCAAGTTATGCAGTACCACAATGCTTTTTGTGTAGCTGTGATGGAAACCTGTGGCTTGAGGTGGGAGGGACCATATTGTTCACAGCACCTAGGATGCAGTTCTCCCTTAAAATAACTGCCAATACATTATGCTATTTTCAATGAGCAGGACTATTGTGTTCTACTCATTCAAATTAAGTTAAACAAATTGATTAACAAGCTGTTCTTTAGTTATTAAGTATGGTTAGTCCATGGCCTTTTAGAGGAGAACTTCAGAAGGTGCTTAGTTTACTGGGTTTGATCACAATGTAAGGGGTGCAACTCCAAAGACTTAACTGGGTTTCAGGTTCCTAATATATGATCTCATAAAAGCTTAGTTAACTGTCTTTAGACTCTTTCTGGTGTTCAGTGTTCATAGCAAGGGTAGAAAGCAAGTATGTAGTGCTATTGCCAAATGTTAGAGCCAGGCTCTTGCGTGTATTTAGGCATTGAAATGGGCTCTCTAACTGCTGCTTTCCTGAATATATTATTGCTTTTTTTAAGTCTTTTTTTTTTTTCTTTCCACAAGTATACCACATCTACGTAAATAAACGTTGTGGTTTCTCTCATAATTTCTATTTGTAAATATTTAGGTTGTAGGAAAATATTCTAGAAATGTAAATGACTTGTGCATGCTTTAAAATGCATCTATCCCTGATTTCTTAAATACTTGTGAACTATTGTGTGGAACTATGCCTAATTTTTCTGTATACTTGTTTAATTGACTAATCTTGCTGCAGCTTAAAGCATAATTTTAGTGTGTTTCCCAACTATTTTTTTTTCTTCATATCCCCCAAGCAACGGTCATGTTCAAATTTATAAGCTGACAGTTTTGCTACATCTGTGTAGCTGATTGAGGGCAATTGTATTGCCAGCTACCCTGGATTTATCATTAACGGAGATCAGAACCTGACTCCTCACCCATTCCCCAAGGAAATGATGGTTTCTAGCTGATGCATCTTTATTCTGCTATGGAAACAATCCTGTTTCAGCACTGGAAGATGAAATCTGAGTTGACCTAAACCTTTCCTATTTATGTTTCTCTTCAGTAGCTTCTAGTCTGAAACAAGAAATATCCAGACTTCCTTAGTTCTTTCTGTGCAAGCAAAACTTGCTAGTGACTGTCAGTTTTTTGCGTCTATAAGAAAATGTGTTGTATGCTACCCAGGGACTTCAATCTCATTACATCCCTAATGATAAAATGTCCTTTTTTGGCATTGACTTTTGGGGGAAGACTTTTAAAATGTCTTCTCCGTTTCAGTATGTTTTTGCAAGGCAACAGGCAGTTTTTCCTGGCAAAAATGTAGCATCTGAATCTTCATGAAAACAGTATATGTGCAAGGTGTGCAATAGGAAATGTCTGGAGGCAGAACCGGTGTCTGAAAACTGTTCTCACTTATGGAATCCTTTTATACACTATTGAGGTAGAAGACAATAACAAAAATTCCCCCAACATCATCTGTATTTCAGAGACATGGATTAGTTTGGTTTCTTCACCTACCCAACTTGCCCGCGTTTCTTGCTCCAACCAATTTTTTGATCAAAAATAGCTATTACAGTGCTGCTATTTCCTGTGTAACTAGCTTGGTACAGTTCCCTGGTGTAATCCCTCGGCTCTCCCCAAGCACAGTCCTTCAAATCCTCTATTCACTCTTGGGGGTAATTTGCTGGTAAACTCCACAGGAGTTGCTCTGGCAACAGTTTCCTCATGCAAGGCCCTCATTGTTGCTGCTCACTTTCAAAGTGGACTCGGAAAATACTCATTTCATAGTTTCAATAGTGCTGTTTACTAGCAGCATCTGTTGCCTCCTGTATTTCTCTTGCCTTAACTGTTTGGCTTCACAAGTTTTTCTTTCCC